GGGCTACAATTATGCCTCATTGAGAAAGATTTTTAGAATTTCTGAAAAACTGATTTTCCAGAAAACTACTACTCGGACTCTCGGACCCTGAGCAGTTATCACTATGATATTCAATTTCAGCATAGTTGATAACCTATAACCCACTAGGTTTGGCTGAAAAAGCGATGTGACAGTTCGCAAGGTCCCCTCGTAAGTATTTCAAAAATCATTTTTCATGCTGAATCGTAGAATGATAATTTCTTTTTGTTCGACAGAGAAAAAAAACTAAGTTTAAGGCTGAGAGTAGATTTTTAAAGTAGGCTCAAGCTTTTCCAAATTTTTAGCGTTTCCGGAAGACGTTTAAAGTTTACTATCGTTTTTAACTTTTAAACACAAAAACAAAAAATAGAAAAAGTGAAAATAAAAATTCTACCTCTTATATTCGATGAGACTGAGTGTTTACTACAATTTAAAACCATTCGGACATTTCTAATTCAAAATCTGGAAATTTTTCTTTGTAATACTGTGGTCTTCTCGAATCTTCTTGAATTTCGATAGGTAGAAAGCCGAAAATTATTTTACGGATATCATTTGATATCACACTGAACTTTTCGTCGAAAGGGAATACGAAATAAAAACGTTCTTCTTACTGTAAAGCTTTTTCCTCGAATGGTTCAATCCAACAACAACAGTAGTATTCCATCAAAATGTCAATATTCATCTTACGTGTTTTTAAGGAAAGTTAATGAACAAGAATTTCGTGATACAGTATTTATAAAACGAAAAACTGAAAGGTAAATGTATATTTTTCTTCATGTATATCAAGGTCAGTTTTTTTAGTGAAAACAAAATCGTACTTATATTGAGTTGTCACTTGAAAGAAATTTATTTCGATTAAATAATGTTTAGTCTTGTTTTTTAAAAATTTTATATCATAGACCGTTCCTCATTCCATCACCTGTGTCTGGTATTATTCGTCAACAATTTTCAACTGTTGAATTTATTCAAAATCAAACAAGTGAACAACGTTCTCAACATATTATTGATATATTTGAAAAATATTTTGGTGAAAATATTCGAAAAAATCCACGTACATGGAATGGTCGTTTTAGAACAATGGCTCAAACATCGTATGCATTTTATCGAGGAAGTGCTATTTTATTCTATCAGGATTTAAAACAGCATAATGATCAATGGGTGAAAAATAATCCAGCAGCATCAAATATTTTCTTACATGGTGATTTACATGCCGAAAATTTTGGTATATATCTAAATAGTAATGGTATTTTAAATTTTGATGTTAACAATTTTAATGAAGGATATTATGGTCCTTTCACATGGGATTTAAAACGTTTAATAACAAGTTTAAATTTAATATTATACGCAAAAGGATTTAGTGATTTGCAAATTGAAGCTATTTTATTTGTATGTGTTGGTGAATATTTAAAACAAGTCTATGAATTTTGCAAACAAGAAAAGAATTATTTTGCATTAACATTACAAAATACTAAAGGAGAAATATATGAATTATTACAGCGAACAAAAATTAAATCTCATGCACATCATTTAGATAATTTGACACATATTAAAGATTATGAACGAAAATTTATCCGAAATAAGACAATCAAAGATGTTGATGAACAATTATATGAGAAAATACTCGATGCATTTCAACAATATTTAAATACAATATCAGAAAATAAACACCATAATAAAATGACGTACAGTGTTAAAGATATTGTGAAATGTCAACATTCAGGTAATGGTATTGTAGATAAACTTAGTTACAATATTTTAATTCAAGGCGATACAGAAATAGTAGAATCAGATACAATTCTCTATATGAAACCGGCTCAAAAATCAGTCATTAGTTTTACTCTAAAAAATGAACAATTTGAAAAAAATTATTTAAAACATGATGGATTACGCACTGTTTTGTGTTCGTATGCCATGCAAGCAAATGTTCCAAAATGGATAGGTTACACAACATTAGATAATACCCCGTATGTCATAGATGAAATCAGTGCATATGTTGCAGAATTAGATTGGAGTGATATTAATCATTATGAAGATATCATAGAAATTGTTAAATATCTTGGCAAAGCAACAGGTAAACGATAAAATTCTCTCACAATTCCTATTAAGTAAGTTGTTTGGGGATTTTTTTTAGCAAAAATTCACTGCGTTTCTGATTCTGATTGTAAACATACTCTTAAACATGCGTCTCGTTTACCAGTTGAAATTATTCCACAACATACCGAGGTAACCATTTGTGATGCAGTTCGTGGACGTGATATAGAATTCATTCATAGTATTGTTGATTTCGGTATGGTAAGTGATTAGTGAATAGTCTATTTATTCGTTTTTAATCAACAATATGAATTTTGATTCTTCTATAGGCGTATGGTGAATTGACAAGACGTGACCATCATCTATTTTTTGAAGCATTTCGGAAAAATAAAATACATGGACTGTAAACAATGTAAACACGCAAATTCTATCCCTTATATAGCTGATTTGTAATTAAATGTATGATAGAAAGAAAAACAAATCAACTGAATTTCGTTTAATGTTAATAAAGCTCTATTACTCATTCACTAATATATCCTAATGTCTTGATGTCTGGTGTATCTGATCAATCAACAAACGAATGTTTCGAGCAAGTTTTTGAGATTTCCAGGGGGATTCTTCAACTATACAACAAGCAAATATTTCATCCAGCACAACTGCCAGATTATAAATATTCCTTGTCTAATACTTTATTTTGGCATTAAAGTGCTGGATAAAAAGAATTGTGTTCATACAAAAACCTTTTTGAAAGAGTACTTGCTCTGTCTTTCTACCCTAGTGAATGCACTTGAACATAGATAGGTATTCGAATGAGGTACTCTGCTACAAGAATGTCATAGATGCTTGCAAGTAAAATATCACTTAGCGGATACGTAAACGGCCAGGCGTTTTAGGTGATTGTGTGAAGATAAAAACGCACGTCATTCTTATAAACATATGTGTTTCTTTTATATATATCTGAACGAAAAAAAGTTTGATACCTATACTGCGAATAGCGCAAGTAATTGGGTACCTCTCAAGTAATATTTACTTGAAAAAAATTCAAGCACCTATGACATTCATGTAGCAGGGTACCCGCATGGGCACCTAAGAAAAATGCAAGTACTAGAGTAGGCAAGTACATTCACTAGGGTAGATACTTGTGCTGTGGTCAGCGAACTAGTTTACAGGTAATATTTACTACCCATTGGTTTCCTGTGGTATTTCAATTAGATTTAATTCACCTTTCGTTTATATCGTTTATAACTTCAGATTTATGTCACTTACCTTTATCTCACTCACATGTACATCATTTGCTGTTATTGGTAGATTTATATCAACTAGTATAAGTTTACAATATTATATCAGTTTTATAAAAAAATGCGTGTGGCATTCGAGATTATACTTTGTTCATTCTATCTTGAATCTTACTAAATTTAGTACCAGGTGATCATTTTTACTCGGATTTCTACTATTTTTGTTCTAATCCTGTTCGGACTAGTATTATATACACAGGCATAGCAGCTGATAAGTCGCTAATATTGACATGGCACTTTTTCGAAACAAAAATAAAATTAGAAAATACACAGAAGTGTTGAATTGACAATATCAAACAAAAACCAAATTTGAGTAGTTGAGTGTTCTTAACCCGAAATGTACAAGGAGTCCTTAACCTACCCTGAGAATAGAGCAGAACCAGGACTCTAAGATCACTTGAAGTCACAAGATAGGGTAGGGCTAGGTCTCAAAATTTTCAGAGGATAAGAGCAGGGCTTAACAAACAGCTACTCTACACATCTCTACTCTAAATTTCTATAGTAACTATAGAAGACTTGGAGCATATTGTATTTCTTTAAATGGTCATCGACTGCTTAAACGATTTTAGGGGAAAATCCTATCAAATAATGATGAATTCTTGATTTTGGCTGTCTCGTTTTATAGAATACCTCTTGTCTTTAACTTCGTCTATACGACTGCCACGAAATGCATTGATAACTTGAAACTAAATGGAAAAAAACGCATGTTTGTTATTGACGATATACACGAATTGACGTGACACTTACTTCTCTCTGCAGTTTTTGAACACTTTTATGCCATAATATTTGATTGAAACGTGGGAATGGTGGTAGAACTATTGTTGTCTTACCGATTATGTGATCAATTACATAATACTGATCCGCTAGATCATTAGACTCTTCTTCTTCACCTTCGCCCAAATTTTTATGACGAATGCGACGGTGTTTGCAACAAAAGCATAGTGTACTAAATATGGTTTGTAATGCTTTCATCGGAATTGACGCCAGTACCTATAAGTGATTACGAGGAAACATTCCCAGCTATTCGACTGATTTTTCCATGAAAGACATTCCATTAGAAATTATTTTTGATGCTGATAACGAATCGGATATCCCTTTTTCTCGTAGTCCTGTGGAATCCAGCCCTCTCGAGACTCATCATCGCATGAAACGACTTTGATATAACCATAGAGCAAGTTGATTCACTCATGTAAACAAATATTTAAATCTAGCAAACTAGCTCTCAAAGAAAATTAAAAACTTGTACTTTCAGTGCGTCGTGAACATTAGAGATGCAATGACTTCTCTTGCAGAAAAAGTTTTAATTATCCTTTGTGTGTTGAGAGCTAGTTCGCAGGGTTTAGATATTTGTTTACATGAGTAAATCGACTTACTCTATAAGCTGGTTGTACCAAAGTCTTTTTGCAATGAGTCTTGAGAGATCTGGGTTCTACGATGCTTGACAGAATTGCAAGAAACGACGATGCTTGATAGAACTGCAAGAAAGACGGATATCAGATTCGTTATCCGTATCAAAAATGATCTCTAATTGAATGTCTTTCATGAAAAAATCAATTGAATAGTTGAAAATGTTCCTATGTTGTTAGTAGAAAGTCCTTTTCTTTTAAGTATTGTAACTATTAATTAGATAAACGGTATGTGATTAGTGATTAACTTTTGACAGTTTTCAGAATCTTATCAAAATGATAAGAACATCATAGAAAACAAATTAGTTTTGGCAACAAGCGAAAATAAGACATAATCTACTGTCGTTTTATAGCATTTTCCATAAGGGCCTATTCTATTCAATTTTAGGACTGTCTCGCAATATAAAATACTCTAAGAGATTGTTTTAATTTTGATGTCTAGCATTTCAAGTAACTCTGAAGTTTTCGTTCATGTAAACCATACTCTCTTAGAATATATACGTTCATGATTTACACTCTCGCTGAATGTCTTTTTATAATAAACTTCAAGACTTTTCAGGTCACATTGAATCTCGATTCTCATCAACTTTTTACATATAATTAGATGTTGACCGTTGTCTTCTTACCTGTCCCCATATTAATGATCCAACGCCAAATAATAAACACCAACCCCATTGTGCGATCGATAATCTTACACAGCTAAAAACCACATTACCAAATGTAACAATAATTATCTAAAAAAATCGAAAGAAATAAGTAGAATACTCTATTGAGCAACTCTCACTAACCTGTGCAACAAATGAAAATATCCAAATACAATAGAAGAATGGATTTCTAAATATTCCTTTAAACACATTTCTTTCACCATGTAATTTACGAGCGTTAATTTCATTAAATAATGTCATTAACACAAACGCATTGAACACAATCGTAAATTGTTGTGAAGGTTCACGGCCCAACTCCGGATTACTGGATAACATTTTAACAGTCGATTCTACTTTGAGAAAACGCTCTCCTAGAAAGACGAGTAAAAAATTATTATTATCCCTTATCCTTATCCTCGAACAAAATTATGGATACTGACCTAGGAATAGAATAATAAACATAATAAAGAGTTGGTATATAGCGTGACCGATGATATTTTTTAACATAATTGCTGATATAATCGATTTTGTTCTACCGTATGGTTTACGGTCTAATAGTTCTTCTGATGGTGGTTCAGTGGCTAATGATAACGATGCCAATGTGTCCATAATCAAGTTGACCCATAACATTTGAACAGCTCGTAGTGGAACACTCTAAACATAGAATAGTTAATATGTTGAACTCTTTACAATAGTATACACCACTTTATAAACTTACACTTATCGCTGCAGCTGATATCACGGATATAAGACCAGCGGACAAATTGGCCGTTAATTGAAATTGTAAAAATTTGGCGACACTGTCATATACATTTCTTCCCCACATCATTGCTTTAACGATACTTGAAAAATTATCATCAGTTAATATTATATCTGAAGCTTGTTTTGCGACATCCGTTCCTTGAATGCCCTGTAATATACAAACTATTCAACAAAGGCAAATGTCTAGTTTCATACAAACCATTGCGAATCCCACATCAGCTCTTTTCAATGCTGGCCCATCATTTGTACCATCGCCAGTCACGGCCACTACTTCTCGATGACTTGTAACTTTACTTTCAACTATACCATTGACTAACGTATATTTGTCTTGTGGCGATGATCGAGCCAGTACACGTAAATTAGGCCAAACTTCATCTAATAGTTTTTGAGAAACCTGTTAATAGAAAAATTATTAGTCATCAACCAAACAAGTCTTTGATTGAGTAACTAACATTTCCCTCGGAATCTCTTATCCGTTTATTAAACTCTTTACCATCTAATACAAGGAAATTGTCCGTCGGTTTAATTATACCACATTTTGTCGCTATTGAACGAGCAGTATTTACATTATCTCCAGTCACCATTCTTACAATAATTCCCGCACGTTGACATTTTTCTATTGCTTCTGGCACTTCGGATCTGACAGGATCCTGAAAGTTTAGAAAAAAATATCATAAAGGGGTTAATCCTTGTGAACCGATTGTAATGACGCCCACCTCAATTGCTGCTATGCAGATACAAACTAAATTTGAAACTATCTCTTCTTCTTGGTCCCAGTTTTGTTCATTGTCAAAATCTTTGTAAGCAATACATATTGTTCTTAAACCATTGTTAGCCATTTTTTCAATAATGTCTTTCATAATTTTATTTAATTCAGCTGGAGTTAAATCTACTGGTTTACCATTTGCATCAAGAATATATTTACATCTACAAATACACAAATATGCACTTTCTGCCGCGTTTTATTTCATACTATTTACTTTGACAGTATAATTTCCGATGCACCTTTCGTGTATATTCTGTAGCCCCCATTTTCTTTGTTAATTATTGTACTCATCATTTTTCTTGCGGAATTAAACGTATAAACTTTAACCATTTTCGATTCTGGTATTCTCTGTCGTATATCTTCATAGGAACCATTCAACGTTGTAACTAACTTCAATAAAGCACATTCCGTTTTATTTCCAATTTGTTTCGCCAAGTCATGCTCGTCACTTGATTCCTATAAATGCACAGTGTGCATCAAGGTGAGCTTTTGGTAATAAAATGAAAGTTGATTTTTCAGTGATTCAAATAGTGATTAATATACTCTGAACTATGCTCTATTCGATGGTAAAAAAAAATTTCCTGCGACCAGTTTAAGCTGGGAAAAATATATGAACAAAAATTGCGCTGAAAACCATGTTAAGCGATGGTGCCGCCGGTAAATCGGATTGCACGCGAAATCAAGGTAAGCCATAAGACAAACAAACACATATTCAGAATCTGCATCCAGTCCGTTACCGATTGGTAAAAAAAAGTTTCAACTTTTGGGCCTTCCAAGCCCAAGCCGGACAAACCAAATAAAACATTTATCTATCGAATTCTCCAAAGCGACGTGTTTGACAAAATACGTGCGCCAACTTTAGCCTAACTCCAATTTTGATGAAACTTTTAGAGAATGTGGTCCTATATATGACACGTCTATACAGGTAGCGAAAACTTGCGAAAAGTTTCCTGTCCCGAATTATTGATTTTCCAGAAAACCCTCGGTTTTTCAGGTATTTTCCATTTTTAAAGGCTAAACTCGTTTGAAATTCGATAATAATACCATATTCGGAATCCGCGCGAAAAACTGCATCGAATCGTGTATAATCGACCTCTAGTGGATGTAAAACAGTTTCTCCGAAAAATTCAAGCTTGCTCATGTAGATGTTCTTACACATGTGATTAAATTCGTCTTCGAATTTTCAGAAATCTTTTCGAAACCTTCGAAATGTATTCCTACCATCGCCAGCAGATTCTTTAGCTAAGAAGACACATGAATGACAGTTTTTTCAAGAAAAGGTTTTCTAGAAACCTCCAAGGTTTTCCCAAAACCTTCCAGAAGGTATTTGGAAAGTTTCTGACTTCCCCTTAGGAAAGAGCATGTGCTGGAACCTATTTGCACAAATTTCCAGCTCATTAGACGGAATGTTTCTCAAGTTATAGCTAATGCTCGCCCTCTATGCGAAAAATGCACACTGTGAAATGATAACAAACATGCGAATATTTTTAAGAATGAAATTTCACTACAATACGTATACCACTATTTTTGATGTATAGCTCGAATTCACTGTCATCGCTTCTTGTGCAATTGGTATTAGATCTGAGTTTATTTCTTCCACTTTTGGTATTTTTTCATAATGTTTTCCTCCAATATATAATTCAACACACGTCATGCGATTTGTTGTTAATGTTCCTGTTTTGTCAGAACATATCGTTGTGGCATTACCCATTGTTTCACACGCATCCAAATGTCTAACTAAATTATGATCATCCATCATTTTCTGAAAGTGAAATAATAACGCATAATTCAAGGTATAAAATCCATAATTTTTCTTTATTCTTACTCGAACGGCGTACGCTAATGCGAGAGTCACAGCCAACGGTAAACCTAACAATATGCTATATCATCAATACAGCAACTATAAGACAGTAAACGATAACTTACCCTCTGGTACGGCAACCACAACGACTGTAATTGCTTGTATTAGGAAATAAATGAAATATTGCACTTGTGAGCCGTTTCCCTTCTCTTTCTTAATTACATAAGTTGTTATGCAATATCTAATTATTAAAGCTGCGAGGGTGAAAAATGCCGCGACCATTCCTAAAAATCGAATGTATTCACACTATATTATCCTTTTAAAGCACAGTCAATCTTTAAAAAAAAACTTCTCAGTAATTTGGAGCCGAATTAATATTTTTGTTTGATACCAAAGTATTGTTTTCGATTATAGTAATCAATAGTAAGGTACAGGTAATGCAAAATTTCAGTGGAATAGGTTTCTGACATTATTATACATATTCAGATTTAGCTTAACGAGCTGATTACGAATAACATCTTCCGAGCCTTCAAAAGCCATTTCTTCATGGAGAAAAACTCAAATTACTAAGAGGACCTCAAAAATACAAAAACCCGTCTTCTATGGCGGAATTGACTTTTTGAGCTTGTATTGCAAGATGGAAAGTTCGAGCTATATTTTTCTATATCAGCATTGAAAATTGATTTAGAAAAAGGTTTTCAGCTCATTTCAGAGGTAAACAGTGGTCCGCCATGGACGTCCGAACCAACGGCTGTCAACTGAGTATGACTCATTTTGCAAACCTATCTAGTTTTTTGGGTGAAGGGCTATATTCACACACCATCAGATCGGCCAACACGCCAGCTTTAAAAATATGTAGAGCTTTTATCAAAAGTCTACTGAAAAGCGAGTTTTACGAAAATTTGGGTTTTCAGGCTGTTTTCACCTATTAAAAAGTTCACCATTCACTCAATAAACATCAGAATGGGTTCAAGACTTCAGAATATAGAGTATTTAAGCTATTATATATCCTATTTATAGGAGATCTTAAAAGAAAGTTTACAAAATCTTAAGGTTTTTCAAAAAGGTTTCTGGAAAACCTATTAACACAAATATGCGTTTTCGATTTTTTCGATCTTATAATCCCATTTAGCGGAGAAAATCGACTAGGCATTGAAGCTCTGAGCTCCTTCTGATGTTTATTGAGTGAATAGTGAATTTTTTAATAGGTGAGAACAGCCTGAAAACTCAAATTTTGGTAAAACTCGCTTTTTGGTAGACTTTTAGAATCTTTTCTAAAAGCAAATATTGCCACGCGGCTCAGCATGATCGATTACCTATAGTCTATCCGTTTTCAAGGCTACCAGTAGTCACCGAGTGCCAGTCCTGGGACTGGCAAGAAATCCGACACAACGCCCGAGCCGCGGAAAAGCAAGGTCTTACTTGACTCTCATTTTGAAGAGGATACGTTGGGCTATCATAGCATGGAAGAAAATCAATACAATCGTATTGAAAAGTTTTACACACGGCCTGGTTTTCCAAAGATCATCTCGCTGTTTCTTTTTGGTTTTCAGTAAAAGCCGTTTGTCTCAACAAGGAAAACGAATTTTGATAAAAGCTCTACATATTTTTAAAGCTGGTGTGTTGGCCGATCTGATGGTGTGTGAATCATCGATATAGCCCTTCACCCAAAAAACTAGATAGGTTTACAAAATGAGTCATACTCAGTTGACAGCCGTTGGTTCGGACGTCCATGGCAGACCACTGTTTACTTCTGAAATGAGCTGTAAACCTTTTTCTAAATTAGTTTTCAATGCTGATTTAGAAAAATATAGCTCGAGCCTTCCATCTTGCAATACAAGCTCAAAAGGTCAATTCCACCATAGAGAACGGTTTTTTGTATTTTTGAGGTCTTCTTAGTAATTTGAGTTTTTCTCCATGAAGAAATGGCTTTTTAAGGCTCGGAAGGTGTTATTCGTAATCAGCTCGTTAAGCTGAATCTGAATATGTATAATAATGCCAGAAAGAAATTCCACTGAAATTTTGCATTACCTGCACCTTATGTATAATGGCCTTGTTTTGTAATTGTATAAACATATATCTTCTAAAATCATTTTTTCCTTTACGAATGATGAGACGACAGACAGGAAACTGAGGGATACCATAATCCTGATAGAAGTTGGATTCTCAATTTCACACAGTAAGTCGTCACTGTATATGAGAGCATCATACAATGTAAACATTTAAAAACGATTGACTAGCTATAAAAGGACACCTTGAGATTTCTTCTACACACTTCGGAAGGTGTTATTCGTAATCAGCTCGTTAAGCTGAATCTGAATATGTATAATAATGCCAGAAAGAAATTCCACTGAAATTTTGCATTACCTGCACCTTATGTATAATGGCCTTGTTTTGTAATTGTATAAACATATATCTTCTAAAATCATTTTTTCCTTTACGAATGATGAGACGACAGACAGGAAACTGAGGGATACCATAATCCTGATAGAAGTTGGATTCTCAATTTCACACAGTAAGTCGTCACTGTATATGAGAGCATCATACAATGTAAACATTTAAAAACGATTGACTAGCTATAAAAGGACACCTTGAGATTTCTTCTACACACTTCGGAAGGTGTTATTCGTAATCAGCTCGTTAAGCTGAATCTGAACATGTATAATAATGCCAGAAAGAAATTCCACTGAAATTTTGCATTAGCTGCACCTTAAAACAATTCTAAATAACGTTGCAGCATCGCTATACTGAGTAAAGGAAAAACGACCCAACAGAATGTATTCCTAAACGTCAGAGAAAGCAGATTTTACATTCAGATAGATATTTAGAGTTATTTCATCCGGAGACAGCACTGCTCACTGTCACATTCCGAACTCAGATGATTTCGTAAATCATAAGTTAAACTAACGAGAAAAAGAGTCACCGTATCTTATTTCATCCACCATTTTTCACTACCAGCGTCGGAAAAGAAAGCCGGAAAGTCGTACTAGTTGGGAAATCTTCGGTAGTCCAAAGTTGTATTATCCATGTATATTTATTTACCTCTCAGTGAAAACCTGATCGGTTCCAAAACCAGACCAAGAAAGTGATAAGAACAGGTCACGAAAATCTGTTTTTTCTACTGATCAGATAAACAGTAATTCTTGGACTGGTCTTGACATATTCTAAAAACAGGCGCTGATCAGGAGTGGAGAGGCTGTACTTTTCTTTCTAACTGCAAGAACGCAAGAGAATTTAGTTTCAGTTCTTTTCACGTGAACATTTGTATCTATAGACAATTTTCTAGACTGATGTATATACGTTATGTAACCCACATTTTGTATAACCTATACGGCAGACACGTGCGTGATTGAAGATAAGTTTCATTATTCTCATTCATACACGACACTTCTTATTTTCTTTACATGGAGTGCAAGCTATTTCTATGCTTGAACTTTTTGCAGTTTATATCTGCATCTTTTGGCTTTTCAAAGTACAGATGCATAAAAAAAAGGAATTAATTCTCAGGGGAATTGTACCGCAGTTTCAGTGAGCGAGAGAGTAGAGAGACTTACATCCTTGCCACGCTTATTATCGCAAAGTTAAACATTCTTCCTTTAGCTATTCTGGGTATTAAAAATGGGCTTTTCTCAAGAAGTGTGCATCACATATGAATACAAGAACTTACAGTTTACTGACCAGCGGTCTGGTCAGGCAAACTAGCCATTCTCTAGGGCAGTCAGAAAAACATGTCACATGGCATGGCAAGCCCGCAAAAATTTGCGAGCCACATGACGTGGCTTGACCACACGCATAGCCACACCCCTGGCCACGTAAAAAAGTCCTGCCCGTAGAAAATCTAGCGTGGCCATGGCAAGTTTAGAGCGTGTAACTTCATCTGGGTCATGAAAAAAGAAACAAAAACCGGTAAAGGTAATGTTCGAACGCCGTTCATAGTGCCCTATAGCGAAGAGTATCGTGAAATCAAGGACATCAGTGAGATCTTTCTGCCGTACGCCGTAATCGAACACGCCGATTCTGGGTATGTAAACATCTCAAACACCCAGTCAGTCACCTATATCTTTTCAAAAATTCGTTTTAACGCAATATTAGCTTAAAACATCGCGCGAAACTTTGTTTACGAAAAATTTACCGCCAGAAAGTCGTTTAAAAAAAACGCGCGAGAATCGCGTTTGAGGTAATCATAGGTTGTGTTAAATGCGCTAAATTTTTCGTAAACACAGTTTCGCGCGATACTCTGAAACTAAACTCGCGTTTTTTCACGGTTCTTGAGCCAATCTTGGTCTAGTCGTACTAAACGAAATTGATATAGAAAAAATCCAAAGTCCCCATAGTATATCTGATATATTAAAGGCTAAGTTTCCCGAAGCAACTTTTTACGAGGAATTCAATGATAGTATCAGAAATTCTTGAAAATGTTTCTAAACCGACATAAGTACCTATTTTTGACTGCGAATATGTATGACTCACAAGAATTGCAAGACGCGCCTCAAAAAAACGACAGAAACGAATGTAACTTCATTCAAACGCGAGAACCAGTATATTGTACTTTCTTCGAAAACGAAAATCGCAATTCCTACAAGAACAGAACAAATTTATTGCGTTTTAGTGCTCGGTGAAGGTGAAAACGAAATCTTCTTTTTACAAACGCGAGAAATTAAAGTTATTCAAACTCGAAACGCAACTTTCTACAAGTGTAGAACATAAAACGCGACACACAGTGAAAATTTGCGCTCAAAACGCGTTAAATTCGTTTCATTCGAGCCCTAAACATGAAAATTTCGGTGCCGTTCGCGAGTCTTAAAGTCTATTACGACTGTAAACGAGTTTGTAAAAGGTTATGGTAGTCATAAACGCGTTTCTCGCGAAATATTGGTGGCAAAAACGCGGTTTTGAGTAAGGCGTATATTTAAAGCTCAAAAAATTCGCCGTATTCACGATGAAACTGTATATTCTCGTACTTAATGAATGCTCAAACCGCGTTAAAACGAATTTTCAAAAGATATAGGTGACTGACTGGGCAGCTTTTCTCTAGATGTCACGTTTTGATGTCTCCAGAATCACTCGAGAAAATCTCCGTATTCTCAGTGTTTAACTTAGGTGTAAACAATTTTAAAGAGATCTATCTATATTCGTAGAGAAAAGCATGTTCTGCAAGATGAGTTGTCATATGGTTGAATATATTTTTTAATGGATGACATACATTGTGTTTCAGCCATAACATTGAACGATACTTTTCTCTATTCTTCCTAACATCTATCTATTTAGGCAGATAAAAACATAGTCACTTTACAAACTGATATTTCCTTTCGAAGTGTATGTTTTGTTTGGACGAGTGGAATGGGGCTCTAACACTTAATGATTATATTCTTCTATACTGAATAACCTGTGTTTTTCAACGGTTACAGCCACACAATAAAAACCGAAAATTATCTTTGTGTAACAAACAACAAAAGAAATAAATCTGATCTATATATAGATAAGAGAGTTAGCGATTTTGATTTGTTATTTATCATAGAAAAAGTTTCCTTTCACGTTTAGTCGTCGAATGTGAAAAAAATAGGAGAAACAATAGCATGAAGAAGTTTGAATGTGGATATATATACTAATATCTATGTATATGAGATACAATGTAAACATTCAGAAACGCATACTTGACTAACTATAAAAAGACGCCTACAAAACATTTTTTCCACTACACACTCTTTCAAATCATGTTTATGACAGTGCTACTCCTCGTTCTTAGTGTACAGTTTATAGTGACCGAAGGTAAGTGTATCAATCTGACAAGAAACTCTGGCATAACTGTTGTCTTCAACATAGCATGTTTCGTAGCTCGTCCAGATCTGTTTAAAAAATGTTACATGTATTTTCAGAAGTCCCACCAGTCATATTATAATGTGTTATCTTATAGTGAGATCAGCTAGTTATCCTAGGGCTTCATCGATTTTATGGAATTAAGTCGCTGTCAGAAACAGTGCAAGAATGAAAATGTTTTGATCCGTCATTCGATAAATTCCTTGTTGAACTCCATCTGCTATTATGCCCAACTACAATGAGGTTACATTTGATCTTTTTAGGGGATGGGTCGTCAAAATGTGCTCCTAATGAGTGCCTCTCGCAATATGGTTATTGTGGAACAAATTCCACTTATTGCGGTGAAGGATGCAAAGGTGGTCCATGTACCAATTCGAAAACAACGGTAGCTCCAGCATCGAAATGTGCTCCTAATGAGTGCCTCTCGCAATATGGTTATTGTGGAACAAATTCCACTTATTGCGGTGAAGGATGCAAAGGAGGACCGTGCTTATCTGGTAGTTCAAATACGGCCGCACCTCCAACACCGGGAACTTCCGCCACAGTCTCGTCTGTATTCGATGAAAACGTGTTCAAATGTATTTTTTCCGAGCTGGACTCAGCAACATTAACTAAACGGTTTGATGGACTGAAGACAGCTGCATCAAAAATGAAATGGACACCCGCGGATGATAAACAAGAAATAGCTGCGTTTCTTGCTCATGTCTCGCATGAAACAGACGGTCTTAAAACTTACATCGAATACTGTAAATCACAAGGTACATGTGATAATTATCAAAAGTCGCCAGGGTGTTCGGTACAAGCAAAACCTGGAAAACAATATTTTGGTCGCGGGTGGCTCCAGCTGTCGTATCCTTGCAATTACGAGGCGTGTGGAAAAGCAATTGGTTTAGATTTACTATCCGATCCCGATCTAGTGAATAGTAGTGATGAAGTGGCAGCCCAAACCGGAATTTGGTTTTGGCAGTCAAATGGACTTGGACCGTTAGCAGTTGCCGATAAATTCGGCGAAACCACTAAGAAATTGAACGTTTACGAGTGTACGGGTCATCCCGGTCACCATATGCAAGCGAAGAGAATTTCAACGTATAAGACAGTTCGAAAGTGCTACGGTTTACCAGAATCTACTGGAAATCTAGAATGTTGAGTTACTAATTGCGTGCTTATTTTTTTTTATTTTGCTGTTAATAAAGCAGTCACTAGATTATAAAATACTCGGACGAAAACGGTGTACTTTCAAGAGGAAAAGCAAATAATCACGTAAGTATAGCATGAGTATTATTCCATCTCAGTGTGGTATCTAAAAGCTGCATCTGATCATTTCATCTCACAAGTTTTCTTGTAAAGTGTTTTTTTGAAAAAACATCGCTTACATTTAAAAATGCAATTCTGCTATTTAGAGAAAAGTGGATTATCCTCTCATACAAGTTTGATCTATCATCGCCATGTAAAAGGCTTCTTAATCAGTAAACGAATACATGAGTAATTTTGCAGGAGTGGTCTAATTATTTACAATATGTATCCGATTATCGTTTAAAAGAAAATTAAAATGATAAATCTCAAGATTGCAATTGATAGAAACAAGGCGTTCTTTTCTGTCTGATGGTTCAAGCGTGAGAAAATCGTAGAATAGTTTTGTGCGCCAAGAGAGAAGAGAAACGCTTATGGTCCTAGTTAGGATCATAACCCGTACGCTATATAAATAGCTAATTCTCTAAGGTAGATAGACAAGCAAACGATTTTTAGCTTTTAAACATAAACTTGCCTATACCGTCTCGAGAAAAAGTTGCTAATTGGAAGGAAATGAGTTATCTTTTCACATGAATCTTATTGCGATGAGATAACTGTTACTCGACGGTTACACATTGCTGCTTAATAACTGTTGAAATAATGGCTAGAAATACATTTTTATTGAAATAATTTTCAAATATATCAAGTGTGATGGCTGTGCAAATGTTGAGACTAGTAATGGATCTCCTTTTCGAGCCCTCCTGACAAAAAAGCCTTGCGGCTAATTTCGCTCGAAACAAGCGTTTTGGAAGTTGTTTTGAACTGAATTCCGAAGCTCCTCACTAGAGACTTTTTCAAAATATGCCTTTTTTTGCTCTTCAAATTGAAAATATTTGAATTTCATATGAGAAATATCAGATCTTATATGTTTCTCAACTTATTTCTGCTCGAAACTGTAGAATATACATTTTTTATCCAATGAAATACTTTATTCTTATTGTTTGTGTTATTATTTTTAGATATTATGACAGATAAAATTTCTATTGCGAAAAAATATTTTGAATTATCAAATGAACATAAATTAAATGATATATTTGAATTATTTGATGAAAATGCAACATATGAAACACAATATTTAAATAAAACAGAATTTAATGGTTTAAATGAAATAAAACAAATGATGAAGACATTTTTTAATGAAACAGTACCGGATGTACAATGGTTTGTGGAATCGGATTTTAAAATTGATACGATTAATTTTAATAGTAATTTGATAAAAAATTATCATTTGGGTGATGCCGTTGTCGCTGATTTTAAACGTTTATCAAAACAAAACGAAGAATTTAATGATAAACATGGTAGACAATGGGTCTGTGTAAATGATTTAGGAAAAATTTATCATATGAAAGTCATAACAAATCAATAGGATTAACTTTTTAATAAAAGAAATTGATTTTTTTTATTTTTAATCAAATAATAGAAAAAAACAATTTTATTGAAAGTCAGTCAAGCAGAGTCAGACTGGAAAAATAGTTAATAATTATTCATAAATAAATATATATGAATTTCGCTTGCATAACGAAAAAATATCTGTCAGATTATCGGCGAAAGCGCGAAGAATATTATATGAAATAGACTCAAAATCTGCGATCTTGCGATGTTAAATTTAACATGGAGCGTAGTTGCAATAAATATCGATCACTTCGAGACCGGAGAATGATCCAGGCGGGGTAGAGCCTGCCGCTCGTCCTTTCAGAAACGCAGCCGAATTTTTGCAGTCCCAATATGTGAACTAAAATCAGGGCTTCATGTTTTATGACTTTCACGTTTTAAAAAGATATTGAGATACAAAAGAAGAGAGATCAACTGAAAGCTTTTTATTTGTTTATTAAAAACGAGTTTTTACCAAAATGTTGTAATATCTTCAGAAAAATACGCTAGCTAATCTTGAGTTTAATGGAAAAGCTATGGAAAAGCTAATGGAAAAGCTTCACCGAGAATAAAAAGCAACAATCGTTGTATGTGGACGAGCTGTTGTTCGATACGATTTGTTTTCAATTAAACTAATCTGATATACAATCTCAATATCTTCACGCTGTACTAAAACAACTGCCTTTTCTTTCAACTGACAAAAATTCCTTTGAGATCCGTAACTTTTTCATTAATATTTGTGAACAGTATATTGTAGCTTCTTGACCGGCGTTGGCAATCATTTAATAAATCTTGAGCTTTTAGTAACTGTTGCTGTAGAATTCGCATACCTGAATCTTGTAGAGCAAACCGTTCAGTGATACATTTTAGTACAGGTTCAACGAGTAATGACAATAAATGATCAGGACATTTCGTAAAATCATCATTATGTACTTGGAGAATATCTTTAATTTTTGATTGCATTTTATTGTCATTTTTCTGTAGTTTAAGATAAAATCATTAATTCCACGTTTATCTAATGCTGATATTAATGGTGTTGGTTGTAAAAGATCAACATAATTGTGCTTAGCAATGTGGATTCTACGTTCTGTAATTAGTTCACGGCTTGCTATGCTGCTACTATTAATATGTTTTTCAGATCACATTGAGTATGGTGTTTCGAGAAATGGTCGCCGTTCCTTATACAGGAGTAATCGAAAAGAAACAATTAGAAACACGTTTTTTCCTGGCGGGGTAAAGCCTGCCGTTCGTCCTTTCAGAAACGCGGCCGAATTTTTGCAGTCCCAATATGTGAACCAAAATCAGGGCTTCATGTTTTATGACTTTCACGTTTTAAAAAGACATCGAGATACAAAAGAAGAGAGATCAACTGAAAGCTTTTTATTTGTTTATTAAAAACGAGTTTTTACCAAAATGTTGTAATATCTTCAGAAAAATACGCTAGCTAATCTTGAGTTTAATGGAAAAGCTACCATTTAATTATTTTCAGTTTCATTTTACTATAAAGTTAAAATTAAAATCTTTTCTAGTAAAAATAGCCATTGGATAAAACTGATAAAGTGTTAAGCTTTTTTTCCGGAAAAGACACCACACGGGCTGAATACTCAATAAGATGGAAGAGAAATTTGCGCACTCCATCTCTGCATCAGATGTTTGCATGACTGAAAGCGGACATCAGAGCTCTTTTGCTCGTGAACAACTTTTTCACAAACAACTACCATCGCCTAGTCACCACTGAGAGAGAAGAAAAATTCATCGTTTTAAGAAAGGGTCACTTTTTTCAAAACTCGGTCTTATTGGTTCATGGTAAAAAATTTCGGTGTGTATGTTTTGGTCCTAAAACTTATTGTTTCACACATAGTTCGATGCATGACATGCTGATTCCGGATAGCGTCTCATTTTTTATTGAAAACATTCCTGAGCCGAAAACAATGTATTTTAACCAGAAAAGCCGTACAGAAGTCCAGCCCATGTATAAATTGCAAAATCTTTTTTGCGTGGTTACGCAACAAAAAGTGCAAAAACATAAGCTGCGTAACGCAAAAAATGGTTAGAAATCCGAAATTCTGCATATTCTTCTAGAACAAAATATTTACAAAATTTTGTATTAATTCGACTAATACAGAAATTTTGTTCTAGAAGAATATGCAGAATTTCAGATTTCTAACCATTTTCTGCGTTACGCCACTTATGTTTTTGCATTCTTTTTCGCGCTGTTCACTTATTTATCTAATTATTATTTATATTGAAGAACGTAAAAAAAATTTTTTGGGTTTGGAGATATGGGAGGATTTTAGCGCATTCATCTAGATGCACTGTAGGATGCTCCAAATTCGCAAGGTAAGTAAAAAAATAGATTTCTTCCAAACATACATGGTAGGATAGAGCTTGTTGAGTTGATTCCAAATGTCGCCGAGTTTTCGATGCATCGCAGCGGACATTTGTCCAAAAACCCGACGTTACGCCTTTTCTGAATTGAACACAGAAAACTTGAGAAATATAAACAGAAACTTTCTGTAGTGAATTGAAATTCATGAAAAGTTATATAATTCGTTCCACTAATTACGCATCTAAACAAATATAGCTAGTTTTAAAAATATTTCTTTTCTCCGGAGCTGTACGGTCAAACTGACAAATTCTTTCACTAATTTATCTTTGATAATCTAAATTAATTTTAACCATAATTTGGGTGGGTGCGTTAAAAAGAAAATTTTATCTTGCAGCACTGACTGTGCTTATACACCCACTCATTTTCTGGTACATATTTCTCGATGATCAGTAATAGCTGGAATAAAAGTTTTTACGCCAATATTTCTCAAAGTGGAAGAGCGCCAATATTTCTCAAGTTTTCTGTGTTCAATTCAGAAAAGGCGTAACGTCGGTTTTTGGACAAATGTCCGCTGCGATGCATCGAAAACTCGGCGACATTTGGAATCAACTCAACAAGCTCTATCCTACCATGTACGGCTTTTCTGGTTAAAATACATTGTTTTCGGCTCAGGAATGTTTTCAATAAAAAATGAGACGCTATCCGGAATCAGCATGTCATGCATCGAACTATGTGTG